TGTGTTATGAATACGGATTCTGGATATGAATAAGTCTAGAAAAGAGAACAGCTGGAGTCCCAGGTTTAAGGGACAGATCTGCTCTGATAGTCTGAGAAGACTACAAGGTAACCTGATCTTGTATTGTAGTCCTCAAGGACATTGAAAATGTCAATCCATTGAGTATCTTTAGAATCAACAGTGACACACAAACCAGAGGACACAGGTGGAAACTATGTGGATGCGCATTAAATACTGAAAACATTAGTCACTTCTTTACACAAAGGGTTGTGGGAGTATGGAACAAACTACACAGCCATAATATCAAAACTGATGCCATTGCTTTTTGCACAAAATGGCTGAATGAGATCCTTAGATTAATTAGCACGTAAAAATCAAATGACCTAGATGTGCCGAATAGCCTCCTCTCGTTTACATTCTTAAAATAAGATGAGCATAAAACATTCAGGACCACATGCAACACTCAGCTGATCATAGACCTAAAAATAGTTGTTATTGCAGTTAATTACTATTTTACTGTGCTGCATCACAGACTTATAGCTAGGAAGCCTCATGTACAATAGTACTGTAAACCTGGTATAGCAGTAGAATCATATGCATGTTGGAAACAGCAGGATTGCTGGCTGCTTTGTCAGCTTTTTCTCAATCTGTCCTGCATATACCTCAAATCTGCAATAGCTCTGCTGTGCAGGCGAGGAACAGTTTATCTGTGCTGATCTTGGCATGGACTGGGCAAGTTCCTCGCTCATCAGGAAACAAGATGGACAGCAGCAGGTATCTATACTGAAACACAGACAGACATGTCTTTAAAGGAGCTTTTAAAAACCATTTGGCTTTCTTATAGTCTTAGGCTATTGACTGATTGTATAAGATACTTATCTTACAGAACACTAAAAATGTATCTTTGTTCCTCTGAGGTGTTTGGATCTTCTTATGAAATATGAAATTGTGCCAATCAGCTCTTTCCAGCTTAAGATCTTGGTGGCCTTAACAGTAGTGATGCAGATCTGTGGTTTCATCTCTTTTGTTAAAACGTCAAGTATGTCACTCCAAAAGCCTTCTGTCACACCATTTGTGCCTTTGCTACTTTTATAAATGAACTGCATAGATATCAAGGAAATTAGACCAATGATGTATTTATTTTCGAACCTTTTCAGTTTTTAGAGTGGAAGAGATGTGACTTGCTTTGTCCCACAAATCCAAATCAAGCTAGACATAGTGTTAAAAATGCAAAACATAAATTAGAAATTTATGTTTTGAAATTTATGAGCCACCTGAAGAAGGCTCCACGGCCGAAACGTTGTGTTCTCTTTCTTCTTTTTTTCAGCATGGAATAAACCTATTACTTGTTCCATAAATTAGAAATGTCTAGCTCCAGGTTTGTGGGTTGGGCTGTCCCATGACTACACTGATACTGCAACTAGATTACATATTCTTATCGAAGGACATACAGGTGAGAGTTTTATCAGGATATAACTTTATCTCCAATGTCTTATCAGTATTTTGCAGCCTAACCAAAATCTGAGGCACAAGATAATATGCCAGAAAATGATCCTTCATCTTTTCTTATAGCATGTTCCTTATTGCCATCGAAAAGGAGAAAGTATGGCTTCAATTTCCAAACAATGAAAATCTTTCATTAAGTCATCCGTCCACCCCTTTTCTCATAGCTTCATGCAATTTAGGGTCACTGGGGAGCCGGAGCCTATCCTGGCAAACATCAAGCACAAGGCAGGATACACTCTGGACAAGACGCCAAACACGCACACTCACACCGAGACCAATTAACACCTACCAGCATGTCTCTGGACTGGGGGAGGAAACCAGAGCACGAGGAGGAGACCCACGCAAAAAAAAGGGAGAACATACAAACTCCGCACAGATAGCACCCCCAGGAACTGAATCTAGTGTCCCCGTGCTGCAAGACCCCTGTTGGCCCAACTTGGATCTTATTCTTCAGGGATAGACTCTGGTGCCACAAGCCTTACCAGGATCAAGCAGCTTTCTCATGACACATGGACAGATGCAAACACTGCTTTATTGTTCTGTTCAAAACCAAGCTTCTTAAATGGATAGAGATATAGTGTTTTTTAGAATGAAATACAGACTGTGCTATATACTATTATATCGTATACAATTATCTTAGACAGTCGGGAGTTACTAGAGTATATGTATTCTGAACACAAGCAGTTCACTCAAAGCCATCATAAGGGTTTTCAATTTTTACAACACATTTGACTGCTAATACAGTTTTGTTTTGGACAGAAGAAACCAGGCATGTCATCTAGCATCTGTAATTCACATCGATCAGAATCTTCAATATTGTGATCACAGCAGCTGGAGGTGAACTGTCCAAGAGCACCCAATATGAAGTGATATCACAGCTGATCCGTCATGCTTCCCAATTAACTCTGATTGACTCAATACCAGGTGGTCCTTATCATCTGTATCTCTCTACATATCTGCTTTCTGCACTTCAAAACCTACTTTCAAAATATAGATCTCTCTGATGTAACTGTTACCAAAATGGATCAACTTTGCATGACAACACCAGAGAATTGTTTCTGTACAAAAGAGGGAAAAACGCTAGGTGAAGGGCAGAACAATGCAAAATGTCAGATTTCTGCACCACAGTGTGAGCTCAATTAAAATATATGAACCCATCTGTGTAAAAGCTCTGTGTCTGTTTTTACAATGCATTTCTTTCCCCAGATCTTTTTTTCTAAAGATTAATATAATGGACACTATTTTACAGGACACATGTAAGAATGGGATCTCATCTTCGGGGATCTGAGACATCAGGTGCGATACGCTCACACAGCTGGGAGAGCGCTATCCGGCCCTGTCACCAGAAATTCATTTGATTCATATCTTTTTCATACAGGTAAGATGAGGGCACATGTGTAAGTTGTTTTGTTTTCGGTGTCGAAAAAAAAAATTGGATGCCTTTTTTCTAAAAAACATGTTGTTGATGTTTTTAAATTAGACAGCTGGGATTTTTTCCCCTAATTATTTTACTGTTTGTGAGGACAGTTTACTTGGAAATGATCTAGTGTAACAGTGAGGGGAAACTGATAGAACAAGGTTTGTGCAGCACAGTTCCAGGGAACGGAGTTAATTATGCTTCTCAGAAAGGCATAAAAGATGGGCTAATTCCAACTCCTCCCCCCCAATCCACCACTGCCTCATGGGCTCTTCAAAGACCAGACGCAGCTTTTTTGTTTAATGACCTTCCTTTCCTAGAAAGCTTTGAGCTGCTGGCAGTTTGGAGCCAAAACGAGGGAGGGGAAGAGAGAGGGAGAGGGAGGCAGTGAGAGAAAGTCATGCAAAGTTAACAAAGCTCCTTGGCTGGTTTTTTGAAAATCCTGCTCTGACCGCTCGCCTCCTATCTCTTCCTCTCATGTATAAAAGTTGAAGATTTGTTTTTTCCTTTACTGCAGGGAGAGTAGGACTCTAAGTACTGATAAGTAGACCACCATTTAGACTCTCAAAGGTGCATTTTATAGGGGGGAAAGGGGATAAGCTTTGTTTTTTTTATACACAAGAAAAAGCATGTTTTAGTGTACAAAGAAAATTCTGCCATCCATTTTTTTACCACGTTGTCCAGTGCAAGGTCAAGGGGGAGCTAACGCCTATCCCAGCAAGCAACAACGCTGGCACAATGCAGGATACACCATGGACGAGGACGCCAGTCTATCACTGGGCACACACGGAAACAAATACACACATACAACAGGACCCAGGCTAACAAAGGTGCCACCATGCCACCCTACAAAAACAAGTCAATTCTTCTAAAGAAAAGGGACTAGCTTACATCTTCAATTGCTAAAGGTTACAGTATTCGCATGTGAAACTGAAATGCAATCACTTTGGCATGTAATGCACACTAATGTTGAAAGGCGTTTTCAGGTCCACGTTGATGCGTTCTAAACCTTGGTGAATGTAAGGGGTGAATGTTACAGTATGTTCAGGCAGGCTGCATCAGAATCTTGTGTCTTCAATTGGGCTTCCCCACTCTCTTGAATAACAAGAGTACCTCAGCACCAAAGGGCTATCCAGGCTCACCCCTGCCTCTTAGACATTTAAACCACACTATAATGTTCCCATCAGAGATGATTTCTGTGTAATAAAGCAAGCTTTCATATGAATGGTATCTAAGGTAATTTTAAGTACATTGCATCACTAAATAGTACTTTGGACCGCTAGTCCGAATGATTCTTACGGAGTACACATTTGATGACTTCTGAAATTATTTCTTTGCTATTGAGCCAATCGACAGACAACCATTTCTGTCACATTTTTCGATATCTCTATACATTAACAATCGAGGTACGATGAAATTAAGCACAGAGGAAAGTGTTGCACTATGGTCACTTGAAAGGGTCCTTCCTATATTAAAATAACTTAATTTTATGAGTGTTCTTCTAGGTTTAAGTAATCATCGTGTCAGAGTAGCCTTTTTATCCTGTTTTTTGGATTTCTTTCAAATGCACACTTTAAAGATGTTGGATCAGAGAAATGAATGAATCTATCATTTACTCTCAGTTTTGGTGGAAACAATCCTGACAATCTTTTTGGTTAAATATTGTATGCTGTGCTTAAGCACATATACTGTATTCCTTTGCTTCCATCTACAGAGATGCATTCTTTGTATATTACTAATTCATACCATGAAATGTTACAGTAGTCCTGCACAGCATTTTGCCACAGTGAAATGAACACACCCAAGTGCAGGCACAGGTTTACCCTGATCTCCCTACACTTCTGAAATCTGTGCAATAATTAGCAGGCTTGTGCATGAACGTCAGTGTCAGGCCATGCACAATAAACGTGGCCTTGCAGGTCCCTGGTGTTATGTTGTACACTTGTGATGCACATTTGAATCTGGAAGGGCTCAGTGAGTCCTGGCTCAATCACGCCACAATTGGCAAAGGTTTGCCTCTATTTTTCCCTTCTTCTGTATTTTTTTTTGTAAACAGACATAGGGAATGGAAAGGGGAAACGGGCTTCCATGGAGATTTATTTTAAACAAAGCATGTTTCTCTGTACAAAGCCCCCTGCCCCCCTCCCCCCGTGACCTGCCCCACTAGTCCAGGTGACATTAGTAGATATCCAATGACTTTTACAGTGTAAAGATGCACAGCTGCAAAACAGAATACGGCATTGTGCCTACTCTGACGCTTAGCAGTTCAAGAACTCATTTGGTTCCTTTTTCCTTCAAAAACGTCTTTGTGCCGGATGCAGGCTTGTATACTAAACTGAAGGCAGAGCCTGGCAGCGCTGGCCTTAAAAGGATTTTGCGATGCACAGTCCACCGAATGTCCACCCACACGTGCATTCCACCAGCGCGGAAAGCCAGCTGCATTCATCTGGGCTTCTCTTCTTTTTTTTTTTTTTGCTCCCTTTCTTCCAAGAGAAACTCAAAAATGGAATTCAATTATTTAGGAGTCTGCTCCGGCGTTCTTTTCCCAAATCCCTGGGGGCGACTGTGCATTTGAAGGATCTGTTGGTCAGTCAGCGCTGGCATTTTAGCACGATTGGGAAAAAAAACAAAACATGAAAGTGAGCCTGGAACACATTGGGCTTCTTTCTTCCAGTCGATGGAAAAGGCATAGAGAAGGTGTCTTTGAACTGCACCGTGTAACCTGACTGCCAAGTCCAATACTGAAAAGCAAACTCTTAATACAGAAATATTAAACTAAGATAATAACAATATTCAAAGACAGACTTATAGGTCCCTTAGGTACTTATAGGTCCTTTATTTACATTGTAATCTATCGAAGTAGATCCTGGTAAAGACAAGCTTAAGGATCATCTTCGAACTCTGTATGATAATAGCAGGAAATGGAATTCTAACATGCAATCTACGACTTGTACATGAAGCTGGCATCATACAACGGAGAATGTAGGATTACCTATGTAACCACTTTGTTCATCTCTTCTTTGTGTTCTTCCTTGCTTGCACTGCAGGCTCTAAGTGATAATCAGGCTCACTGCAGTGTGTTGGTAAAACTTTCATTGCTGGGTTTTGGTCTGGAGCAAACAATCTGTGGACAGTTTTGAGGAAAACAAAAACCCAGAAAAAAACTGATGTCTGCTTCTTGAACTTGATGAAAGGTTTCGACGAAAAACACCCGGTAATCTGACCTGAAGAAAAGTCCAGAAAGTATGAGAACCGTTGTCCTAGATTGTCACAGGAACTCCAGTCTGCTACCTGCTCCTTTCCCACAGCACTTAATTGTGAAGAGGTTGGCGCCGGTGGATTTCGGCCTGTGATACAGTTCTCTGGCATAAAGGACCACTCCACTGGTCATTTTCAGGAATGGAACTGGGATTTTAGTTTACGAAAGCGTACACATAACCCCAGTGACTTCCAGTCAGGTAATTGTAAAACTTGTAGAAAAATCTTCTTCTATGTCAAATAAAAGAGACTAGCAATGGACTAATACAACTGATCGATTTGCCGCACGGCAGTCTGGTAACCACTTGGGCTGGGGCCTTTTTAAAACCATGTTGATTTAAAAAAAACACACTTAAGAGTTCATAATGAAGACCCTGCCTCTGCTATAGTAAAAAAGGGTATTCTTGCAAGTAATCCTTCAGCCTCCGAGGAAGAGGCAAGTCTGTGCCGTTGGGTGACCTCTGGTTGATCACTATTCTACACAGGTGCTGGAGACTGGGGGGGGCCTTATACAGGGGCCTGGTCAGGATGAGCTGGAGAGTGGTCTCTGGAGGAGAGGGGTGTGTTGAAGACTTTGTCTCAGATTTGGGTTCACTCCCAGACCGGGTACCTTGTTGGCAGCTGAGGGCGTAGTGCTGGACCAGGTCCACGACCCCGCTAAACTGCCTCAGCCTGGGCCGGGTCAGAACAAGGGAGTCAAAGCCGAAGGCCCCCCCGGAGTGCTCGATGCGCAGGTGGGTGGGCCCGAGGCTGGTCTTCACAGACAGGGTGAGAAGGTAGCCCGGGTTCGAGCTGTCTCTTAACAGGAAGGTGCCCTCCAGCGCATCGTTCAACACCTGCTTGGCTTGAGCCGCCGTGAGGGAACCCCAGTACCAGCCTGAAGATGAGAGAAGCGGAAACGTTGAAGTAGGACATCAAATGTGGAAGATCTGGAGGGATCTAAAAGGATCTAATGAAGCACAATGTTATTTCAGGTGGAGACTTAGTTTAGTTATGGGAGCTGGAGGTCACTGACAACAGATGCTTTGGTGGAAGGTGGGCTCTCCTACTCCTTTCTAGAGAAATACAGCAACTTGGCTAAACTGAAGCTGAAAGTAACGTGTAAAAAGTGTATTTTCTGTTTTTATTATACTCGGGAGGAGATAATTCGCTTAAAGCACGAATCGAAAATATAGTGTGTATATAAGTATGTATACTTTGATACAGTTTCCGTGGTGCTACGTGGTACATCTTAACATATACTGTATATATCTGCGCCACCGTTAAAGAATGTATTAATAATATCAACATAATATTTTTTTAATGTGCAAACAATTCTGTATTGTTCTAGGATACTATTAATCTAGATTACAACGACAGAGAATAGTTCAGTAAACCCACACACCAATCTGAATTGAATAACCCCATGCAAAAAATAAAACACGGGCGCGTTTGATAACTCATCAGCTCTTAATTAAACCCCAGAGGTCGGAAAAAGCAAGCAAATAAAAACTAATTTAGTTCCAACTCCGCCCGAACCCAACAGATCAGGTATCTGTGAATGTGTTCGGTTTTTAAATGAGTTTTCTGAAGCAACATTGTTTAATATACTATAGGCATTTTATTAAAATAAATCTTAATCTGTATGATCGTTTCATAGGCTATATGTACTTTAAAAAAAAGTATAGTTTGTAGAAGCTAGCTAACAACAGAAGTTATTGCCACCGGTGTACGCATGCTCCAAACAAGACTACCGTTTAACTGCAAACCCAAAACACAGAGGTTAAAGGGCTGTCCGTCCATCTGTTTGTTGAAGATAAAAACAACCAAAAACTAACCAGACTCGTGGAGGTGAGACATGGCGTTCTCCACTCGAGTGAGCTCCTCTGTGGTTTCTCCCCGCTGTTGTTCGGATACCGAGTCCTTTAAACGGACGGGGATGAGCGATTTCTCCGGCAGCAGGCTGGGCACGATCATACGGTTCGCCTTCCCAGAGTCAACGGTGGGCTTAAGCGGGAGCCGAAGAGAGGTGGTGGTGGTGACCGCTCTCTCTCCCGCGGCCCACGGCGTCTCTGTGTCAGCCTCTGGAGTCTGCGAAACGCACTGTGTGTGCCCCATCCAAAATCTAAAAAAACAGGGAATTTACAGTTGAATTGCAAAGCTGAAAGTACATGCAAAACATGAATCAAGGAAGCTTTATTCTACAGTATTAGACTTGCAAATTTAATCAAACATGGACATATGAAAATCAAGATAAAAACTCACTACCTGATTAAAAATTAATGTATATACAGAAAGGACATTTTCGTTTTTTTGATCAGAATTCACACGACAATAACATTACATTTTTAACTGGCATTGCTGACCATATATGTAATGTGAAAACTTCAACTCTCAATTGCCTATTCATATTATGCACACATCTTCAGTTTTAGTTAAAAACATTTTTTTGCGTTTTGTAATATCTGCAATCAGCGTTTTATGAAGAAAAATGCAGGCATTCTAAAACTACGGCGTAAGAAGTTTTCCTACCAATAAACATAGTAGATTTACAACCCGTTAATTTTAAGATTTATTTTTACGATTATTTGCTTAATTTCATATTCAACAAAAGGTCTTAAAAGTAAAAAAAGAGTCATATCATGATCTTTATAACCGTAATTAGGTTGATCATTGACTGCTCAGAACAATAAGCAGTAATTAAACCACGGATATTTTAACCGAGGTCTTATAAGGTAATACCCCTTTCTGAGCTTCTCTGCCATTAGGAACATCATGCGGAAAAAATGACCGCAAACAATAGCGATCTTTTCACTAAGATATCAAGAATCATTTCGTAATATTCATTTTTTGTCTGATCTCCGTGAAAGGAAAGCGATGCAAAAGAATCGTATCGCAAAAGAAACACACAAGTAAATTAACAGCTAATTGATTTTCAAAACATGGTTTTCAAAAAACGAGGTCTTCTCAAATGACCTAATTTTCCATCTGAAAAATAAACACCTGATTAATTAACGATTCTATAGTGCGATTATGGTATACAGTACGTGTAAGCGACAGATTATTAATAATGTAATCGTGGCGTTTTCGTAAAATATTAATTTGAATTGTATTTCCTTTCCGATTGTAGCATTTGAATTTTGTCGTTTTAAAATTCAACGGGCTTATTAGTTAAAATAAAAAATGACCTATATTTTAATGCAGCTGATAAAGTAGTATTTTCCAAAAATAACCGACATTCTAAACAGCAAGCATACTTCTGGATAAGCGCCCCTTTGTTGAGCTCTTTCACAGTGAGCTATGATATTTTATTATATTACAGTAATATGTGATTATCATGCACTTTCACGTGAGGTTTCCTCTGTATCCGTCAGAGATTAATATTAAACACATTTTATATCATTGCTAATTGGTCGGTTAAATATCGACATGTCTACAAATTGTCGAGCGAACTGCAGCTGTGATCTTCGTTTATCGTCTTTAAAGAGCTGAAACGCACAAAAACTGAGGACGACGAACTCACCTCGCTCGGTTCACAGCCAGCAGAAACCAATGGGCTCTGGATCGGAACCCTGCAGTACCGTAGTCTCCAGTGCCTACTCTTCAGCTTGTCCCAGTTACACCTTAAAACGGCTGGGTTAACCCCTTCCACTCGGAGAACGAGTGAAGACCGAAGCGAAAGGCTAAAAGTTAGTGTAGTTCTTAAGGAACTGCGACCGTTTCATTTATTCCCAAATCATAACTGATATCGAGTCTTGACTCGCTGCTTACCCACTATTTAAAACAAAAATCAGTTTCCGACTAGTAGCATAAACAGCGTATCGGCCAGTCTGACAGTGTTACATCGAAATAAGCGCACTTTCTGTGAAAGCAAAGGAAAAGCAGGTTGGCAGCTCTCGTGTGTTGGATTCTGACTTGACACCTCTTCAGAGCATTTCTTTCACCGAGATTTCATTGTATTGCTCCAGTGGTACGTCCTATTTGTAACCGTTTCTTTGTCTTTACAATCCCGTATATTCTTTCTGCGCTGAAGGCTGATCCTCGGCGGTGTGGGAATCAGAGATTTTCTGCGCTTCGTATTTTTCCCTATAAACCAGCGCTCCTCTTTCCAGGAACATTCCCAGAAAGGCGAGTCACGTGTGCACAGATGCGTTCTGGCGGAACTCCGCCAATCGGCAGCCGAGACGATGAGGTCATCGAGTGCATTTTTTTTTATCGCTATACAGTTCGGATGGAAAAAGCCTTGTACCTCTTTTCTGGTTCTTCTTAGAATAAAACTCATCCTGGGCTATACTCCAGCAAAACACGAGGTCATGGCATGTTTCTACAAGATATATTGTTTCCAGTAAGCCTCTCTATATAACCTTGAATCCATCTCACCTTTTGTACGGTTTCCACCAGATGGTTTATTTTCACTACAGACACAAAAAGGATCTATGCATACAAGAAAATCGAAAAATGGTGGCAGATATGCACACAAACTCACATTGTATGATCCGAATACTGTTACGCTACTATATATAGAAACCTAAACGAACAACGTCATCGAGGCTGAATTGATCACTATTCTTAAACCGAGCAATCATTTTCAGCCAAACACAAAGCTGTTAATTTTCAACAGAATTTTCAAAAGAGGCTAAAAAAGAACTGCGTCGCAGAGCAGTTTCCAAAACCCGTTTCAAACTTTTAAGATTTTTAGAGGATTATAGAAAACGTGCCACTATCAACTTTGTTGAACAGTATGATGACAGTTTGATAGATATTGCTTACGTAAGTCACGTTTCAGAACTTTTTTTTACTGTTTTGAAAAACGTTAACCATATAAACGATTGACAATTAATATCTATCATACATGAATTCAAATACAATCTTGAATGTGATATAGCTGTATTTTTTATTGCATACTATTTAGCGGCCTAATAGTGTATATAGGAAGATCTACATTTTGCTTTGTCTGGAACCAGCAGCTTGTAATTGACTAATTACTATAATTAATTAATACTGCATTTTATAACGTTGATGAATGCCCGCATCAGACTGAATCAAAAACAGAAAAATATTTTTATATGGTAAACGTAACAAAACATTTAGCGCTTCCTCAATACCGAGAACCTCTCAAAAACACTTATAAAATGCTTCTTTTTCAAAACAAAGTCCATCATTCTCACAAATGTATGCTGCATAATAAAAATGTTGTGCTAATGATAAGCCGAAGAGCGAAAACGTCCAGGTTGAAGATTTACACATAGTACTGGGAAGTAACAGTACCAATAAACAGTCCCCTGCTTACTTGTTTTTATCCCTGGTGTCAATCTTCAAACATCAGGTTTGTACCCTCAACTTGCAAAAGTGCAGTTTTCAGAAGTCTAATATTCCCCCCCGAGAACGTGTCGGTTTCGTTTGAAGAGATGGCGAACTGCGCCCCCGTGCGGTTGCATCAATCACACGACGAAGGCCCAACGCCAAATACCTCCCACCAAGAAAAAAACACCCTTGCAAATCTCGATTGTGCGGGCTTCACAAGACCATATATCAAGAGCGCAGTTTTCAGATAACCCCGATCCTTCTCTTCCGAATTGCCCGTTGTCGTTTTTTGTACCCAATACCGCAAAAATCGGAGATTCACAGAAGCCCAAAAGAGAACGCATTTGTCCGAGGAGAAATGGAAATCGAGTATTACTAGAGTAATTGATATCGACTCAAGTACGCCAAAATGTATACAGGTGTTTAGCTTTACAGTGAATACAATGGGATTTATTTATTTCAGTAGTAATTTACAAACACAGAACAACATTATTTTATTTCGGATAAGTATAGCTCCAGAACACCGTTTTTTTGTTTCGCATAGCTAATGATGTGCAAATAAAAGCTACAGACGTGCTTGGTTCGCAGATGTTGTCTGATTTTTACAGGAAACCTTGGGGTTGCTGCCGAGACGGTGCCCTCATCTTCAAATGGACAATTTTATACAATGTGATAAATCTAGTGACTTCATCCCCCACTGCAAACAAGAGAATAGACTAAACATTAATTATAATACCTACGGGAATTATATTAAATAAACGTGAATTGCCTAGATCAATTTTCCTCGTAAATTATGTGTCGCAGTCATAAATCACATAAAAGCCACATTGCCTCACGACCGCCAGCATCTTGTAAACTCGCAACAAAGAAACTTGCGTAGCCCTTTGCTTTTGTATGGCAAGGTTTACGAACTTTACGCAAGCAGTCATCCACATAGACTCGTCTAGTCCTGTTGCTTAACCGGCGTCATAAACGTAGTGGGCTGCTGCGTTGTTACGTTAGATCAGAGCGGAATTCGCGAAACGGATTAGGGAGAGTTTTCAGCGCTTGTGCGAGTGGTGAAGGGAAGGTTACGCGGTTTGCGCAGTGTTCTAATAATGGCGTCTGTGCCGAAGATGCGATCTGGTCTGAGAAAATGAAGCGGAGGAGAAGTTGTTTTTATTAATCAAAAGCCGGGGTTTCCTTCAGTGGGCTTTACGTCGAACGCAACGACGTTTCCAAGAGGTTCGGGTTTAAGTTTCGGTCTGTGGAGCCCCGAAATGATGAAGCTTAAGTCGAACCAGACCCGGACCTACGATGGGGATGGCTACAAAAAGCGGGCCGCCTGCCTGTGCTTCAGGAGCGAGAGCGAAGAGGAGGTAAGGCCGAGGATGCGGGGGTGTCGGGGGGGTGGGACTGGGCCTTGGGTGGGTGAGTGAGCACAGCGAGCCGAGGGCCCTGGGAATCGGGGAGAGAAAGACGGAGAGAAAGTGATTAGTAGAAAAGAGAGAAGTAAAGGGTGACGGGGGCTAACTAACAGCATGGGGAGGGAGGACAAGATCAAAACGCGGGGTCGAGAAGCCCAGGCAGCGCGTTAGAAAGGCACAGGTTGGGAAGGGGGGCAAGGGTATTCGATAGCCTCTGGTGTTTTGGCCCAGGTACAGGGGGCAGTATGTGCTTCTTGTATTCCAGACTGTCATCGCGCTGCACGGCTCCTTTTTAACTGCAATACCAAAGCCGACACTCAGTGCGCCTGCAAATACTAGTTCTTTGCATGTTGAGCGTCCAGAGCTCTTTGCAGGGCAGCTGTGTACCGCCTGTCTGGAGACGCAAGGCAGTCTGCAGCGACTGGGCGTGAGGCTCGCTTGTGCCCAGTTCTGTTCAGTGAAGGGGAAAAAAAAGGAAGTGACTTGTTAAAGAAGTGTTTCACCAAACCCGTGAAATATTTCAGCCTCCGCGTATTCCTGGTACTCCGGGCGAGCCGGCACTGCGATTGTTTTCTGAAAACCCGAAAAGACACCAGAAAATAAAAATAGGATTTAGAGAGACGTTGGCAGGAGGGCACTGATGGAACGCCAACAGACCACATACCAGTGCCTACATTTCAGCAGTGGGTCCATGCATGACGAGCGCTAAGGTGTGCTGGGGAAATGTAGTTCCGTTTCAAACCTCAGCCAAAAAGAATAAGGAATGTGAGTAAATAAGGGCTCTAGCTTTACAGACGAAAGGCTGAACATGAATTTGAGGGGAAAGAAGAGGAATATGTTCATGTTGGGGCTCACATTATTTCTCAAGTATCCATGATCAGACTCTGGGACAAAGGTCAAGGTTTGCCAGCTAAGGTGTAATCTTATCTGGGACAGGTTATGTGTTCTTCCAGTTCGTGTTCTGTAAGGAAATAGCGGGCTTCCGGGCAGTGTTATCTATATTGACTGTAATCGGGGGCATCCAAGGGGTTCTCGCATTTGAAATGTCCCTTTGCTTTGCTATTCATTTAAAAATATACAGTGCAAAATAGATGTTTGCAAAATATCTGCTTGTTTCAGCATTTAACACTTAGTTTGATGAAATGTAGATCTAAACACGATTAAACCGAATCCAGCTTTGTTAGTACTCCCCGCGAAGGAGTACCAACGTTTCATCCAAATCAGGGTCACGGGGGAGCTGGAGTCTATCCTGGCAAGCAGCAGGCACAAGGCAGGGTACACCCTGGGCACAACAGCACATCACAGGACACAACAACAGACACAAACATGCTCACACACACCAGAGCCAGTTTCCCCAGAAGCCAAATTAACTTACCAGCACATCTTCGGACTGTTGGAGGAAACCCATGAGAATTGAACCCAGGGCCCCAGCACTCTGAGGCTGCACCATGCGAGTATTCACTCCCCTAAACTTAATTATCAAGGCCATCTTTGTAAATGACACAAAAATGTCTGAAAACATTAACTTGAACTTGAACTTTATTGCCATATGTAACCGGTACTGGTACAATGGAATTCTTACTCACAGAAAGTCTCTCGATTGTAAAACAAGTGTAAAAAACAAAACAAAGTGCAAACAGTGCATCAAGACAATGTACAAACCAACAATAGACAATGTGCAAGTAAACATGCAGACAGTTTGAATGTAAACAATACAGACGTGTACACAATGACTGGAGACGTACAATAAATAAATTACAATGAGGTAGATGGTGATGGTGTAGGTGTGGTCCGAGGGGGATGGCTAAATGTGTTCGCCAGTCTCACTGCTTGTGGATAGAAGCTATGATTGGTATGTCCTAGGAGTATGTTAGAGCAGGGCTGTTTACCCTGGTGTCCTGGTATCAATCCACTCTGGGCTCGCTCACTCGGGTCTTGCTAAAGTTCCCCTTCTGTTCATGTAAGTCGTGTCTCCCCTCTGCAGCTGATCTGAGGATCTGGGGCTGCACTTCAGTAGTGGATACCACGGGGGGCCCCCCTCTTGTGTGTGAAGTGCTTTGGGGTCTTTTGAGATGAAACGTGCTACACAAATACTAGCAATTTGAAAAAGCAGTTTTTAGATCAGATGCCGACCCTTACTCCAGCTCTGTGGATCAGAGTTCAGCCATGGTAAGTTAAACCCAGCAGTGACGGACATTGCCTTACTCATGACGTGCTTGAAGTAAAACATCTCCGGGTGTGAGGTGACTGAGTATTTAGGCTGTGTGGGAAGGGTGTGGAGTACCTCTTTCTGTCCCATTGAGGGTGGCTAAGGGGAATGTCTGTATTGCAGGTGTTGCTGGTGAGTAGCAGCCGGCATCCGGATAAGTGGATTGTTCCCGGAGGAGGGATGGAGCCAGAAGAAGAGCCCAGCGTAGCCGCTGTGCGGGAAGTGTGTGAGGAGGTATGGACCTGTGATTTCCGTGCGGTTTCATAAAGCACTCATTTGTTTTCACAGCCGTGTGCCATTCTTAAAAAAAACAACAAAACAAAGTATTGCCTACGTGCGACAGGAGGCGCCTTGTTTTCTTAAAAACTGGACTTTGAAAGCATTTGCCTTTTTGTTTGTCTGGCTTTCCTTGTTTTCGTCCACACATGCTAAAATAAAACCTCTGCCACCAGCCTGATGAGATGTCAGCGACGGCCTTTTTAGGTATGTTTAGGAAGTAAAACCTTAATATGGTTGTCGTGGAGAAGTGTCTCAGACTCCCCTCCTGGAGGGCCTTTTGTCTTCGGGTTCTTGTTCCAACCTGAGCAGTCAGAGTATTGACCTTCTTATTTTCTAAATTAGACACAGACAAGATTTTCTCTTGAGGTCTTTTACAGTTCATTGCACAAGGCACTCAATTAGAGGTGCGGCTGCCTATAAATCACCTGGTTGGAGTGTTACAATTATACAGTCAATTATGTAGTTTGACCAACTATGTATTGTATGTTGGCAACAAAACCACAAGACACAGGGCCCCCCAGGAACTGCGGTTGAGAGCCCCATGCTTGAGCTTCCCTTCTGTTCGTTCGTAATCAGTCTGAAAAGGAGAAGGAGCTTAACAATGAGAAACCTGAGTACAGTAAGTGAAAATATGTTACAGAAACTGCCACAAAGTACCACAGAAAATCAGAGAGATACAGTGGAATAGACATGAAACATATTTCACAGAAAACATAACTCATGTAACCTACTTACACTTGTTTAGATGAATAAGGCATTTAAATCTATACTCAGGTGATGGTTCTTAAAAATTAAACAGTGTGTCCCAGTGCACAATGCCAGACACTGTAGTTTGTCTCTTGATAATGGGGGGGTTTACTGAAGCCAAAACCTGAATGCCCTCCCACATCTAGGCAAGTAATCGAACCTTATGTTCAAGTCAGCCTCATATAGAACATCTTCATTCCTGCAGGCGGGGGTTCAGTAGGGATAGGTGTTTGAATGAATTAGAGCATTGTTATTGGATGGCTCCAGTCCAGTAGCCCTATCTGTGCCGGCTTGCAAAATTCACAAAAACAAGCCTGTTTCTTTAACTGTGCCTAGCTTTGAGAATTTCTGTTTCTACACGAAATCATCTCCCTATTCAGGGTAGTGTGAACAGGCCTGAAGGGCCCAGAGTAGACCGGAAAGTACAGGATACAGGTTTGGAATCAAGCCACTAGCGTAGTGGAGATGCTACAACAGATTGGAGAGTCTGAATGAGGGTTGAGTAATTCTCTTCCTGGAGGGCCAGTATGTCTGCGGGTTTTTGTTCCAATTCAGCGCTAACCAAGCCAAACTATCAGGTGACTGGCGTAACTGGACCCATTTCGCAACTTCTCCCAACTCTTCAGGTGCTGCTGCTTTATCGAGACCTTGAAAACCTGCCAAACCACTTCTGCACCCCAGAACCGAGATTGGACACCCCGGATCTAAATGTATTCAGAAGGCAGACTCTTCTCATTACAAAATGACGTGCATACATATGTTTTTAAGCTAGTGTTTCATTCAAAACTGCAATTTTCTCAAATTGAAGACTTATAAGGGTAGGATACAGTAAATGTCAGCAAAAACTATGAGTGTTGAGCCAAAACTAATGAGTATTTAGACCCATGGACTCAGTATTTGTTGGAAACACCTTTGACAGCAGTTACAATTGTAAGTTTTTTGGGCAACATTGCACACCAGCTTGGTGCAGTTGTTGCCCAGAATACTTGTCAGACTAGCTCATGCTCTCTCAAACTGCTTGGTAATTCCTTTTAGATATTAATTTTTAAGTCATTCCACAGATGATGGGTAGGATTCAAATCGGGTTTTTGCCCGGGGTAAGACCCACTTTCTGATTCCCAAGTTGCTCAGGTGTAGCTTTGGTGTCGTGTTTTGGATCACTGTCCCCGCTAAAAGGTGAATTTTTGTCACGGTTTTAGGTCTGAAGCAATTTTCTCTCTAAGATTTACCATTACTGTGGTGTATTTATGTTCCCATCAGTCTTGACGAGCTTCCCAGTCTCTGCTGGCAAGAAGCAGAGCTGTACCATAATGCTGCCACCATCCTGCTTCACACTGTGGATGGTGTTGACTGAGTGATGCACTGTGTTGGGTGTTGTGTCAGATGTAAACTTTGCGATTTGACCAGGAGGTACATATTTTGTCTTGTCTGCCCACAAACCCTTTTCTTACTTATTTGCAGTATTGCTAACGTACTTTGTTGCAAACTCTGTACATGATTTGAGATGGGGTTTTTTTTCAGTTCCTTACAAGCTCCCCAAAGTAGAGTGACCCAGAGATTTTTGATCCTTACACTTTTTCACCCATCTGAGCCACTGAACTTTGCAACTCTTTCGAAAGTTTGCAGCCGTTAAAAGGTTTCCCCCTTACCCGGCTGCTCAGTCTGGAGAAACAGCCTGACTGACTAGGCAGCGAGTGGGTGCCTTCTGCTTCTTAAGGACTGACTTCATTGAATATTTCTTTCCACATGGGGTCTTGAAATGGTTTTAGGCTGGTTGATTTGAAAGCTCCTTTGCTTACAGTTCCTAACCTGACTGAGGGACCTTGCAGAGAAAGGTGTATTCTGGATTCGTGTGATTCTGAACCACTATTATTGCTCACGGAGGCCTAAATTAATTTAGGTTTGCCACAGAAAAGGTAGTCTTGACTGTGCTGTTTCCTTTCTTATTCAGTTTTTTTGCTTTCAATGTGTAGAATAGGTTGTAAATAAAACACGTATTAATGGCTAATTCAAAGTGTCATAATTGCAAGCTTAAAAGCAACAAAGAATGGAAACTGTGCAAAGGGCTAAATACTTTGCAAGTGACTGTAGCTTATAGCCCTGGGGCCAGTGCATGTGCCCAGTAAAGTACATTCTGGTAACTTGTTGTGCATGAACTAATTACACAAGAATTCCTCATTTTACAAAGCAGCTTTCCCTTTGCAGAACGGTTCCAAAGTGTGTTTTTTTTTTTCATTCCAAGCCAGAGTCTCTTTTTTTTACATCCGGACAACGCCGGTTACTGTGTGCCTCTGTGTAATTTAAAACATGTGTCACTTTATTCGAACTCTTCGCTATTCTAATTTGACCCTATAGGTAGAGATCTATTGATCTAGGTTAAGTCTACATACAGAGTATTTAAAGTTCTTGGGTAACATTTTTTTCAGCTTTTTCAATTTGCACTGCTGATGAATGCGTTTTAAAGTAAAAAAAAAAAATGTTTTTCAATCTGTTACCTTTATGGAAGTTTCATGGAGGCATTGAAGCACGTAGTGTATTTGGGATCTGTCTGGGCATGGTTGCTTTTTTTATTGTCTGTCTGATCAGATCATGACTGTCTATATTGTACTCTCAGAGGATGGTACAGTAATAAGGTTATTAAATAGTTGCACTGAGACAACTCTGGGACATATTTAGCAATAGATGAAATCTTTACAGTGTGTGGGAAAACCTAGATGCGCCTGTTCAGATTTTTCAAGTATCCCCACCATTACAAAGCAGGTTTTGAGCGTTTCCTAATTTTATTGTACCCTTGTTTTCAAGTCGCGTTCCTCAGGCTTTTCTGACTAGATGTCTTTCCGTTTGAAAGTGTGATCACGTTTTAAGTATGAGAATATATTCACTGACTGAATTTTGAAAACCTCCACCTTTTCACTGTGGTGAAGGATTGTGCATTTCGATGTTTCCTTGCTCCAACAAATGCCATAATGCCAACAAAAAAACAACAACTTGTGGATACGTTTTTTTAACTTCTAGTGCTGGTGAAGCATGAGTAGACCTGCAGGGAAGAGCACGGAATGCAATATCATGATCAGCACCTCCTCCGTCTGGCTCAGGCTGGTGTGCTCAAGAGCAAAACCAGTATGTACTAGAAAATGACAGTGGCTTGGGTACACTTGAGTAATTCACGTGCATTGTTATGTAGCACGTATGGCAATATTTCTTACCTTTTGAGTTGTGTTTGTCCTTTTGACATTTTTTCTTTGTTTTTGGTTTTTTTTTGGCAATGCCTTTAAAAGACCCCCACACGAACAAAAACACCAGCTGAGAACCACTACTTTGATGTCAACCTGCAGTTGCATCGCTAATCTTTTTTTTACTACTTTTTCCCAAATAGGTGCTTTGAGCAACAGACGGAACGCACACCCTGCATTCCCAAAAATTCCAGCTTGACACCTGGTCAATAAAGTGGGCCTGCGTGTCTTCCTGCTGCAGCTCGTGAGAGAAATTGTGTATATACAGGGCCATGCTGTGAAGATGTTATAGCTGAGACACGACTTGGTCCCAAATGCAGCTGTATCTGATAATTCAGTTTCATGTAGAGCCTGACGCAGACGTATACAAGGTAGATTTTAATGTGACACAAGTCTGGTATAGCCAGACACCTGCATTTGGAGACATTTGTTTTAATGTGGCTGGGATCTATACCAGATACATAGTATCAGATACTAAGATACTGTTATAAAGATTGCAAAAGTCTGAGGGAGACTTCAGTATTGTTCTTTCCTCTTCAGCGGTGTACTTAGATTCACTAATATCTTTGCACCCCCGAACAGAAGACAGTCTTCTTTTGTTATAAGTGGTTGACATAAATGTGTAAGTGGAATTGGTG